GGCCACTTTAGGTTGGAATGGGGTCCTGGGTGTACACCCACCACCGGAGTGGAAGAATGGCAGGCGCATCTTACAGATGACTAGTCGATGGTCAGAGGGCAGATCAGCTCCACGGTAGGTCCTGGCGTCAAGGACATGGGCTCGCATCCACTGGTCCATCACTATATAGTCCAGCAGATGTTCTTGGTTGGACCCGGCATGCATCCATGATGTTGTGTGGACGCGCCGATGCCGGAACAGCGTGTTGGTAATTACAAGCCCATGGGCTGCACAAAAATCTAGCAGCCTCCTACCGTTGTTATTGAGCTGATCTGGCCCATGCCCTCCAATCACTCCAGACCAGCTGCCAGTATCATGACCAACTCGGGCATTGAAGTCACCCAACATGATGACTCTATCCCGAGGGGCCACTTTAGCCAGCACCTGTGACAGGAGGTCATAGAAGGCATCTGACTCATCGGCTTTGCATGCATCCCTCCACAAATGTTCATCTTCGGTGGGCGCATAAGTAACCACGACCACCATTCCTCGCCTCCGGTTGATGGGAAGGCGAGCCCAAAGTAGCCTGGGACTTACAGCTTCCCACACCTCACCGCCACGCTCCCACGCCCCCTTCATTCTTTTGTACAAAAGAAGAGCCACACCCTGTTGTTTGGCAGTCTGCTGCTCCGAGTAGAGGACTGTCCACCCCTCATGGTGGCAGGAGCCAGAGCTGGTCCACCGGACAGCCTGAATGCCACACAGATCCAGGCGGTACCGGTCCAGCTCCCGACAGAGGAGTGGCAGCCTCTCCTCTGCAGTGATCGTTCGAACATTCCACGTGGCCACCCGTAGTGACTTTTCATTGTTTCTGGAGGAGCCCCGAGGGTAGATATTCAATCTCCTGGCTCCGCCAATTGGGGTTTGGCCAGGAGACGTCAAAGACGCGTGGCCCCCCAGGGCCTCCGGCACAAGCTTATTAGTTACATATTTCAGTTTAACTCGTGGTTTAGTGGTAATCAATTGAAGGTGGAGGGGTTACCAGCCCCACGCACCCGTCCAGAGCCCCCGTTTAGCCCCTGTGGTGGACACATATGCCATGAGGGGAGGAGCCAATCAAAATTGGACATCCCCCCACAGCACTGTCCACGACAGAGTTGCCCGTCGGGTAACGCGAGGAGGTAGCGGGTTGTTTTACCACCACTACCACCACCACTACCACCTCCACTACCACCTCCTGTTGTATATACCGGGTCTTGAAAATTGTATTAAAAGAATAAAAATTAAATGAAATTGGGAAAAATGCGTAATTATGTGAAGTTATGTTAATTGATGTAATTATGCGCATACTTATGCTAATTCGAGAGATAATCGTATTAATTTATGCGAATGTGTAAATTAATGCAAGCCGTTATGATAATTAGGCCCTGCCTCGCTGACGAGGGTAGTATTATAAATCGGGATCATACAATTAATTGTATGAAGTTTTGCAAGTGTGCTGTAAGTACGCCAAATTATGCTCGGCTTTGTTGTCTAGGTTCGTATTATCAATCGGTATAATAAATTATTCTCGCTTTAATATTTACTTATTATGTATTAGTGTGTTGTATGTCAGGTCTCCAAATTCAAATCTCATCGCAGGATACAGTTCTCATAAATAATATTATTAAGCATGAACTCAGGAAAGAAACACTCAAACACTTCTGTGTTAAGCAATTTTTATTTCTAAACAAAACCTTAACACTCTAATATGCGAATTCTCATGCTAGAAATTGTCAACACAGTACGCCAGAAGATGTTCCCCTTATTGAGCTATACATTTAACCCTCAATGATCACGTTTGTTAACTGCGTAACAGAACAATTTATTACTTCATCAGAGTAGTACGAGCATATACGGCAAATAAAAGTCCTTAAAAATTAATGCCACGACATTCATACGGAAGGCGATAAAAGCAAATTATTATACCCCAAAGGCAAAAGTATACGTCAATATATTAATCGGCAAGATTATATAATTAACTAAATGTCTTGGAATAAGGGTGTGCGACGGGGTGCGTCCCCTCCTACGGGAGATTCTTATCTTTGGCTAAGTTTTAATTAATTCGTGGACAAGATTGTATGATAAAGAAACCGGTTTAACACAATATTCTCTCTGTGGGCGTGTAGATTCGTGATGAAGGTTTCAAAAGTTTAGTTTTTATCGATGAATCTATTGGTAATTCATGCAATCGGAAGTAAAATCACGTAAAACAAAATAATGAGAAAAAAATTAATGTACTTATAAACAACGTATTCTTGTCACTCGATAAGCCGCGATGCCTTCACGGCCAGCTGATGGTTCATGCACTTTATAATTGGTCTTAGTGTGTGGGTACGTTGGATTGTCTCTTTGGTAAATTATTGTGTGAGCAGACGCCAGGAGCGTCGTGGGTTTGTGAGTGGGGGAGGGTATACGAACGACGGCTGGTTCCCTCTATCGCTCGGCGTCTGACGTTGGCTGCCGGTTCTCTTCGCCGCTGGATGATGAGCTGCGTCGGCACGATGCCCGTCCTGGAGATGCTCGGTCGCTCGTGCGCTGGCAGCAGTTCCTCACTCTTGTCTTGGTTCCCAGCTGGTGCTTGTCGGTGTGCGTGTGGGTCGAACCCACGGCGCGCTCGCTGGCGCTGACACTCTTGCTCACGGGCGGCTGGTCAGGCTCTATTCCCTGCTGGATGAGCCGAGTCGGCACAACGCTTGTCCGCTGGCTGCTGACACCCTTGCTTGGTGGCGCTGGTGGCTCTGCGGCGTGCTCTGTCCTGCTCCGGCTCTCTGGCAATGAACGATGCTTTCGTTCGTTGATGGCAGGCTTGGTCGACGTTTGGCGCTTTCCGCCCTCTCTGATGGATGATGCTGGAATTCTCGTCAGCTTAGCTCGAACTGCAGTGGCTCTTGTGAGTCGATGCCCAGAGCGGAATGATTTCCGAGCGATACTTCTTCTGACGGCGCTGAATTCGCACGGCGTAGCGTGTCGCTACCCAGCGAGCCTCGTCATCCTGGATGAGTTGCGGAGTCTTCTTCTACGTCGGTGGTGATCTCCTGCGTCGGTGGCTGGCTGTTATCTTTGGGGGATTGAGCATCTTCGATAGTTGGTCGCCGTCTTCTGCCGCAGGTAGCTGTGATACTATGTATGGCCAGTGTCTCTCTTTTTATGACAAAATTTCTTCCTCTGGCTCGCCTCCTCACAAAGGACTGGAACTTCCTTTGATCTCGCTGTTGTGGGGGGGGGGGGGGGCTGTACGTGTGTCCGTGTGTGTGTGTGTGTGTCTTTTATTAAGCCATCTGTGTCTCTCCCTGTGATTACCGTCGTTTCCCTCGCTCTGGGTGTTACATTCCTTGCTACCCCATGCTGCGGGAAGACAAAGACGGTTGGGAGGCTCTTTTCCTATGGAACACAGTTTATCTTGGACAACCCTCGGTTTAATACTGCACAAATATTATTTGGTTTGTTTACTAAGATTTGTGATTTAACATTGTCATCAGCACGTATTTTTTTTAGGGTTGATTAATTTCGTCCCCCCGTCTGTATCCGGGGATCGGTGCTTTTTATTCTCGAGGTCAGAGATATAGCTTAGTTTGGACTTAAGTTTTTCGTGATTGCAGGAACTCATGTACTGTGGTTCTTTTGGTAAAGTTACATAGATAGAAATATACAATAAGAAACAATGAGTTGAATAAGGGTGACATAATATAAGTAATAATGAAGCCACTAACATAGACTGCAGTCTATCATGGCGACTTATTCTTATAGCCAAGCTTCAACTTTTTCCGTAAAAAAAATATATATCAGTTATAATGTCCGTTTGCCCTGTGCTCTGTGTCTGTGCCTGTGATTCTGGATATTTGTTTGTGAACTATCCGTTGGCAATCTGGAGATTTTGCAGATAGTCGCTAACCTCCCTTTGCCCCGGAGTTTATTATTTAATGGCCTTTTACGACCTCCAGCTGCTTGGTGCTTGTGGGAGGTAGCGGGTTTGAGGGTGTTTATTTATTTATTTAATCGATTATTGTTATTCTTATTATTAAAAATGGCAGATTATTTTTAATATTAATTTTTGGAAATAGGCCTATATATACAACACTCCACTACCACCACTACCTCCACTACCACCTCCACTACCACCACCACTATCACCACTACCACCACCACTACCTCCACTACCACCACTACCACCTCCACTACCACCACTACCATCAATACCACCTCCACTACCACCTCCACTTCCACTACCACCACTACCACCACCACTACCTGCCAATGATCCCCCACCCTCCCTCGTGGAGCCTGTAAAAGACTGGATGGGCAAGTGCTGTTAGCGAGTAGCAGCTGTGAAGGCCGGCACAGCACACGAGGGGGTGGGTGGCCAGCACCACGCCTGGCCGCCCACGACCAGTTAGGATAATTGTCACTGGTGTTGGCCGTGAGCGGTAATCAAACTCAGGTGGCCGTGTTCGTAGCGCAGGGCGCTAACCAATGTATCACTGCTCCCCACTACCATCATCATCTCTACCACCAAAACCATCAACTATCATCAAAATAAAAATTGTGACCACCAGCATCACCCTCGCCCCCACCATAATCTCCACCACCAACACCACCACCTCCCTCAACCCCACCATCACCGCAACCACCATCATCTCCACCACAAACACCACCACCACCATCATCTCCACCACCATTCTCACCCCCACCACCATCATCTCCACTACCACCACCATCATCTCCACCACCACCTTCACCACCCCCCCCACCATCATCATCATCTCAACCACCCCTCTCACCTCCACCATCATCATCTCCACCACCACCCTCACCACCACCATCATCTCCACCACCACCATCATCATCTCCACCACCCCTCTCACCCCCACCTTCATCTCCACCACCACCATCAACTCCACCACATAATCCCAAGCCTCTTACCGACTGTCATCTCGCAGGGCTGCTCAAGGCTGTGCCGAGTGGACCTCCAGAGCAATAGCATGGAGGAGGTCGAGCGCGGGGCGCTGGGTGGGCTACCGGCGCTGCGCGAGGTCTACCTGGGCGCCAACAGCCTCTCCACGTTCCCTGCCTCCGCGTTCGCCCCCCCGCTGCCCGCTCCCGCCCCCACCGCTGCCAGCGTCCTCATCGACGGCGACAGTGACAACACCGTTGGCGACGTTGGCGACGCCGGTAGCTGCGACGTCGCGAACGCCGACGTCAGTGTCAGGAGCGGTGGCAGCGGCAGCAGCGGCGTCGCCACCTTGGACCTCGGCTCCAATTCGATCTCCTTGCTCCACACCGATGACCTCCGGTGGCTGCTGGAACTGAGGACCCTGAACCTTTCCAAGAACCAAATCACCGAGGTGTCCTCGGGCTTCCTGCGCGGTCCCCGTCGCCTCCGGCGCCTGCTCATGTCCGCCAATCGGCTCATGAGCGTGGCCGGCATCTTCCCCGAGGACCTGGGCCTCCTAGAGGCCCTCGACCTGCGCAGCAATTATCTGTCCAAGCTGCCGGCGGGAAACTTCGCCAACCCCACCTCGCTCCTGTTGCTCAACGTTGCCGACAACCAGATCGCGGAGGCGGAGGACGGCGCGTTCGACGGCCTCGCCTCCCTAGGCCGCTTCGACCTGGGCGGCAATAAGCTGGGCCTGCAGCCCCTGGGACCGCGGGCGTTCGAGGGCCTCGTCAACCTCACCAACCTGGAGTTCAACAACAACTACCTGCACTACGCGTCCGCGGGCGCCGTCCGCAGCCCGCTGTTCGCTCCCCTCCGCAGCCTCACCCACCTCTTCCTCAACAGCCAGCGCAGGGACGGCATGGTCAACTTCCCATCCAACTTCCTGGAGGGCCTGGCCACCCTGCAGGAGCTCCACGCCGGGGAGCTCTACCTGTCGGTGCTGGACGCCGGCACGTTCCTGCCGACGCCCAACCTGCGCTGCCTGGACTTGGGCTCCAATCCCGCTGTGCGGCGTGGAGCCGGCGCTGCTGCGGCCAGTGCCGCTCCTCGACGAGCTGCACCTGCGCGGCGTCCGCCTGGACGACGTCGCCTTCCTGTCCCGGCTCAACCTGAGCCTCCTGCGGGTGCTACGCGTGAGCAACAACCGCGTCGGCGAGGTGTCCGCCGCCGAGCTCGGGGCGCTGCCGCGCCTGCAGCTGCTCGACGTCGTGGGCAACCCCCTCTCCTGCGGCTGTGACAACGCATGGCTGCGCGACTTCCTGCTAAACTCGAGCCGCGTGCAAGCGCCGGGGCTGTGGCGCGTCCGCTGCGGGTTCCCGCTGTCCCGGCGCGGCGAGCTCTTCGTGCGTTTCGACGCGAGCCAGTGCCGCGACCGCTCCAGGCCGCTGCTCTTCGCCTGCTGCTCGTGCGCCGTCGCCCTCGTCATGCTCACCGCCACCGTCTTCAGGTTCTGGCGCTGGCACCTGCTCTACGGGTACCACCTGCTCGCCGCTTGGCTCGGGGAGCGTGGGAGGCCTGCGCGGCAGCCCGGCCCGATACGCTACGACGCGTTCGTGTCCTACAACAGCGACGACGAAGAGTGGGTCGCGCACCAGCTGCTACCGCAACTCGAGGGCGCCGGCATGCGCCTCTGTCTGCACCACCGCGACTTCGTGCCGGGCAAGGACATCGTGGACAACATCATGGACGGCATCTACGCGAGCCGGCGCACGCTGTGCGTCGTGACGCGGAGCTACCTGCGCAGCGAGTGGTGCTCCAAGGAGCTGCAGGTGTGCGCGCAATGGCGACGTCATAGACGGCAACCACTGCCCACCGCCACCCGCACACTCATCACCAACTTCCACCCAACACCACCACTCACCCGCTAACCACCCATCCACCCGAATGCCCACTCATCACCAACACCCAATCCACTCAACACCACTGCGACCACCACCACGCAGCCACCAAACATCACCACACACCCAACCATGGGCTCCACCATAGGAATGTTGAATTTCCACCACCCGGTCTGCAGGGCTGCAAGCGGGAGATGAGCACCGATAGCTCAATGTGGCTCGATTCTGCGGCGGCGACTCCGACGAGGCCACTTCTGTTGCGTCTCATAGAGCCCTCACATTTGAAGGAAACACCCCAAGTGGCAGCTGTCCCTGTGCTGCCGAGCGTTACTCAGCACCTGGCACGGGAGCAGGCATTTCGCTACTGCCAGTAGAGGGCGATGACCGTCTTGATCTAGCCTAGGGGCACCCCCGTTGACAGCTGTCCCTGTGCGGCGCAGTGCAACTCAGCACCCGGATGCGAGCGGGCATTAGTCTACTGTCAGTGGGGGCGGAAGCGATGATTGCCATTAGTATAGCTTAGGGGGTTCCCCAGCGGCAGCTGTAACCTGGTCTGCAGGCGGGCATGTCAGTGGGGGAGGGGGTCGCTGTGTGGTCGAGCCTAGCGGGTCCCCAGAGGCAGCTGGGGTGACGATTGCTGCTCAGTTTCCCACTGGAGTGACGCTGCCTCTCGTGCAGGTGGCAGCGTTCCGTCTCTTCGAGGAGAACCAGGACGTCCTCGTGCTCCTCTTCCTCGAGCATATCCCTCACAACGAGCTGTCCGCCTACTTCCGCATGCGCCGCACCATCCGCTCGCGCACCTACATCACCTGGCCCGGCGCCCGGGAAGACTCGTTCGCCCGGCGGGGCCGGCGGGGCCGCTCGGTGGCCCCCGCGGGGTCGGAGGGCGCCTGCAAGCTCTTCTGGCACCGCGTGGTCGGCGCGCTAGGGCCCGGGGGGCGCGGGGACGAGGGGTGCGGGGTCGCAGAGGAAGGAGGTCCGCTGGGAGCCCCGCTGGTGCACGCCTGCTGACCCGCTCGCCGTGGCGATGGTGACAATGGTTGAAGGTGGCGTTGGTCACAGTGATGGTGATGCCTGCTCAAGGCAACCGAACAAATGTCCAAGTTTGGTCGGCGGGTTCGTAATGGCAGTGTCCCGTATCCACCCGCATGCCTTCTCCCCACCGCCTGTTGCTTTTGTGAGAATGTGGAGTTTAGCGCTGGGTGTAACATCTTGTGGGTTCGTCCTCAACTCTTTACATAGGCAGTGCTACCGGAGCAGTGGGTGAGGCTGATGTTAAGACATGGCAAATGGAGCGCTAGCTGAACGGGGCTAGTGGCTGGGTGGGCCTGACGATATAAAAAGTGCGTGTGGCTATGCAAATGCGTCTGAGCAGGGGGGGGTGCACTGAGTGGGTGGTGCTGGTGATTGATCGTTAACGCCAGGGTGCATCGGTGTTAAGAAATCGAGTGCTTTGACATTTGGGGAATGTTCGTGGTACTTTACGTTTATTGTTGTTGTGGTTCATGTCCATTAATAAAAACACATTGTCTGACCCCTCCACCACCCAACAGGGTCGTCGCGTTTACACAGCTGAAATTATCATTATTATTTATGCACTCCTCGCGACCCGAGATCGACATCGGTGTGGGGCCGCCGCTCTTGGCCCGGAGCTCGGCGTCACTCGTCCCAGCAGGGAGAGGGGCGCGACGACGAAGCCTAAGGGAACGGCGTCGCCACCTTCGTCATCCCTGGGGTTGAGAATCAACGGACAAAACACACAGCACGCGAGCGTCGGTGTGGATAGTAACACGCGCAGTACGCACGCACACACAGTACACGTACACAGTACACGTACGCAGTACACGCGCAGTACACACACGCGGTGCACAACCAGTATGCACCGCACGTGGCCAAGCGTGCAACAGCGCACACTCTACTGCGTATTCACCCGGTCTTGTGAACGGACGGACCGGACACTTGGGAGGCCACCCACCCCGGTGGCTGCCAGCTGACTGTGCTCCGAGTTCCACCTGCGACAGGGAGCGCACGTTGGCTACCTAAAGACGTGACTCAGAAACACGGCCCTTACCTTGCAGCTACACACCAGGGCTGTAGGCCACGGGCTGTCGAACAAGAGTTCAGAGCATCTAGTGAGAAAAGAACTGTCAAGGGTCGCCCCTAGGTTGACTCAGCCTTAATCGAGCTCAGCGTTTGAGGGTGTAAACATTAGAACTGGGGGGGAGACAATGGCGCCCTGCGTGGAGGACAGGTGGCGGCATTGAAGCGATGCGTGTATCGAGTGTCCCGTGTGACACGCGTGTCCTCCTGCGCGTCCCATCGCATGTTCTCCCGCGTGACCTGTGTGTCCTCCCGCGTGACCTCCCACGTGACCTGTGTGTCCTCCCACGTGTCCTCCTACGTGTCGCACCAATCTTCTTCTTGTCATACGGCTGATGTAGATGCAGAGCAACAACTATTATTTCACATTCGGGTGGCCAAGGCAGACCGCGTTACCAGGAGCAGCGGAGTGTATCGTCGCTGTGATGTCTCCTTCGTATTTGTGGATCGTCGCATTGGGTCGTTACACGGTGTACGATCTGGAGAGTTTTTACATTTCCACTTGTGCATCAGGTATCCCCATCTGCTGCCATGGTTTGTGCACAGGCTACGATTTAGGGTGGACCATGAGCAGCTTCGTGGAAGATAAAACCCCAGGGACCTTCTGCATTGGGTCTTTCAAAACGACGAGGTGTCGCGCCAACGTGGCCCTGCAATCCCACGGCGGACGTGAAGAGGAAGACCTCAGCTTTGGGGGGGTTTATCATACCAGAAGGGGAGAAGCGAGAGCTCAGGTTCCACTCCAAGTCTCCCCCCCATCACCACCTTCTCCAATTGCTAACGCTGCAATACAACGCCAATCGCATAGCTGTCAACCCATACGTGTTACCCCATTATTCTTATCCAGGGAAATTGAGTTTTCAGGTCCATACGGCGTACAGCCGTTTCAATACGGGAACAAAAATAAATGAAACATGTCTATTTTTGTTCCTCCCTTGGGATGGGACTTTGTAGGACGAACGTTGAAATTTATAATGGGCACGGGGTGACCAATGAGGTCTAAATTGGTCTTTAATAAGGTAGGCCACTGATAAGGGGGTTGACAGGTATGAAACTGTCACGATTATTATTATACCGGCGAGTTTCCCCACGACGTTGTGGGTTTGCGTTCCTTACCTCGCTTTCACTGTGCACTCCGTGCGCTGTTCCGCTTGCGCACGCCCGGCACGAGCGAGGAATTCCGACGGGAAGGTTCTTCCGCTGCCCTTTTGCTCACCCGTTCAGTGAGCTGGTGCTGTCGTTCGCTCCCTTAGGTCAACTCGGCCTCAAATGAGAAAAACCCTGGTGCGTTGCGGTGTGTGTACATTTTGCACACTCGGGAGACAAAGGAGGCCGGGCGGGCGTGGTGCTGGGCACGCACCTACCACCCTCGTGTGCCACTGTGCCGGCCTTCATAGGGGCTGCTACTCGCTTAACAGCACTTGCCCCAACAGTCTGCTGAAGGATAAAGGGGGGACCTTTGTATTTGTACGCATGCAATACTGTACACAGAATACAATTATTTGTATACAAAAAGTACTGGGCATTACTGTATCGAACACGTTAAATTGTATCAATGTATGCCAGTACTATTACAGGACTTCTCAAGTACTGCAATAGCACTGCAGTAATGTGACAAACCTGTCAACCCGTACGGTTTACCCCGTATGCTTGTACAGGGAAATGTAGTTTTCAGGTCCATACGGCGTACAGCCGTTTCTATACGGGTGTAGAGGTATTATTGTGCATCTCCCATGCTGTTAGCCGGTGGTATCGGACACGTGCCAATAGGGGGCAGAAAAGGGCCTGAGCCCCAGTGTTAAGGGTCTATGGCCCACAGGGCCCAACGATAACCCCTATGGAACGGCATGACCAGAGCATGACCAGAGGTGCAGACCCCAGATCCCAGGAGGGGGCTGGGGGATGACATCACCCCCAGGTCCTGCTGGAAGGTTCGAGATGGAAGGTGTGGCCGGGACGGAGTAATCCACGGCTCTGTATGAAAGCTGGACCTCTGAACGGTCCAGGCAGTCGTCGCTCGCCTGAAGATTGAAGAAGCCTCCTGAAGAGAAGAGCCCAAAGGGCAGAGCCGTACCCCTGCTAGGGTCGGCTCAAGCTTATACCAGTGAAGATGCAAACTGCACTCGTGAGAGGTGTACGTTAGCCAGTAAGAGGCGTATTAGTCCGGAGGGGCTACCTCCTGAGCATATCGGGAGTAAGGGGCCATTACCCCTTTGTGTGTGCGCGTGTCGGTCCATGTGTGTGTGTAAGTCGATGTAGTCGATGTGTGTGTGAGTCAATGTATGTGTGCGAGTCGATATGTGTGTAACTCCATGTGTGTGTCTAAAGTCGATGTCTGTGTGTGTGAGTCCATATGTGTGTGTGCGTGTAAGTCGATGTGTTTCTATGTGTGTGGGTCGATGTCTGTGTGCAAGTCCATGTGTGTGTCTGCCTTTTTCGCCCGGGCAACGCCGGGTACTTACCGCTAGTTGTTAAATAGAAACGTGTTGCCTCAGAGAACTCTCCTCTAGTTATTTACCCACTACACGGGCACTAAAATAATTGTGTTTCTCCCTTGTGATGGGACTTTGTAGGACAAACGTTGAGATTTATAAGGGGCACGGGGTGACCAATGAGGTCTGAGTTGGTCTGTGATAAAGTAGGGCACTGATAAGGGGGTTGACGGCTATTATATTATTACACCACAATAATGAAATAGTGAGACTGTCTAAAGTATAGTATACACACATCACTACGTTACTGCCATGGTGCTAGCGTATAACGTCTACTATGATAGTGCCGTCGTGGTTATACTGGTAGGAACCTCCAGGTTACACCAGCCCACAGGGAATTATTGTCCGTCCGTCCTGCATCCAAAAATGGGAGGGGTGGGGCTGGGTGGAGAGGAGAGGGTGGGGAGGGGCTGGTTGGGGAGGGGCTGGGTAGGGAGGGTGGGGAGGGGCTGGGTGGGGAGGGTGGGGCTGGGTGGGGAGGGGCTGGTCACCCCGTGGTGCCCTTATAAAACTCAACGTTTAGCCTACTCACGCCGGCTTGTGCCCGCCCTCACAGTCGGGCATATTTGCGGAATACACCACGTGGTGCCGCCGTTGACCCTGGCCACTGACCGAGTAACCCAACGTTCCTACGTTGGGTTGATGACATGCAGCGTGTACTGCATGTCATCACAGTAGTGCTGTAGGGCAGTGATAACAATGTATTTTGCGTACTGTATAAAAGTACACAGCCATTCTTTAAAGATGAACGCTCATCACACGGCGATTTGTGTTGGTGTCTGGGCCGAGTTGGAATGGTTCTGTGATGGCGATGATGGTGATGATGGTGGTGGTGGTAAAAACAATGACGATTCTGACGAGAATTACCAGGCCGGGATGATGATGATGATGACACGGATAACCATCATGTAGCTGATGATGGTGGGGGATGACGTTAGTGAGGATGGTGGTGATGGTGATGACGGCGGAGGAGGTTAATATTATTGAGGATGGTGACGGTGGAGAGAGATAACGTTGATGTTGATGGTGGTAATGGTGATGAAGATAATGGTGGTGGTGACGTTGGTGAGGATGGTGGTGATGATGGTGGAGGTTGCGGTGTTAACAACGAAGGTGGTAATTGTGGTGACGATTATGAAGTTAATGTTATTTATGACGGTGATGGTGTGAAAGGATGGTGATGGTGTTGAGGTGACGTTAGCGATGGTGATTATTGTTGAGGTGATGTTAGTGATGGTGATGATGGTTGAGGTGACGTTAGTGATGGTCATGATGGTTGAGGTGATGTTAGTGATGATGATGGTTGACGTGACGTTAGTGATGGTGATGTTGTTGAGGTAATGTTAGTGATGGTGATGATGGTTGAGGTGACGTTAGTGATGGTGATGATTGTTGAGGTGACGTTAGTGATGGTGATGATGATTGTGGTGACGTTAGTGATGGTTGTTGAGCTAATATTAGTGATGGTGATCATGATTGAGGTGATGTTAGTAGTGGTGATGATGGTTGAGGTGATGTTAGTGATGGTGATGACGGTTGAGGCGACGTTAGTGTTGGTAATGTTGTTGAGGTAATGTTAGTGATGGTGGTTGCTGAGGTGACGTTAGTGATGGTGATGATTGTTGACGTGACGTTAGTGATGGTGATTGTTGAGGTGATGTTAGTGATGGTGATGATGGTTGAGGTGACGTTAGTGATAGTGATGTTGTTGAGGTAATGTTAGTGATGGTGATGATGGTTGAGGTGACGTTAGTGATGGTGATGATTGTTGAGGTGACGTTAGTGATGGTGATGATGATTGTGGTGACGTTAGTGATGGTTGTTGAGCTAATATTAGTGATGGTGATCATGATTGAGGTGATGTTAGTAGTGGTGATGATGGTTGAGGTGATGTTAGTGATGGTGATGACGGTTGAGGCGACGTTAGTGTTGGTAATGTTGT